TCTTTGTCACGTTCCGCGGCCAACATGAGAAACCATAATAATCCCTGAGCCAAATGTTCTGTTTTCAGAACTCTGTACTTCAGTGACAGATCTATACAGAATATCATCCTTCCAGTTCGGACAGCCCATGACACCTAGTACAATCTCTCCTTCAACTACGAGAGCCAAACCAACCTGAAAGTTTTGAGTTCTGCCTTCAGAAAACCGAAAATAGACCAGAAAACACCAAATTACTCCTTGAAATTTGAACTTGGAAACACATCATATGAAATATATATATTTTTTAAATAACTATGATATGTTACTTCTGGCAATTGAATTGATTGCTTTTTTACCATGCAAGAAACAGGAAGCATGTTCTTTGAAGTATATTTGGTTATCTAATATTAACCCTGGATGCTACCAGATTAGATATATCAACAAAAAGACTAACTTTTTTGAGCTTGACTTTTCAACTCTCTCGAAAAGGTAAAGAGTGGGTACTTAAATCTTCTAATTTTGTTGAGGAAAAATCATTTTCTTCTTTCTTTAAAATCTAGACACTGAAAAGATATAAGCATACGAGAACCATGGTATGTCTTTACCAAAAAAAAAAAACAACCTTAGATGTTATCCTCTTCTTTGTTTCAGTTTACTTTTGAACCACTACAAGATCAATGTCCCCGTTAAACTACAATGGGTCTTGTAGGATTCCCAAGAAATTCTTCGATTTCTTCCGGAAGCAGATGATTATTCATCCGCTTCTCACGTTCCGTGAATAGCCGGGGCATTGAGGAATATCCAGAAAGGCATTTAGGGAATTGGTCTGATTCTATCTCTGTTCGTTCCGTTTGAAGAAAGGAAGGATCCTAAAGAATCGATCTTTCTTTTAGTTGTTGAATCTCTCTTTGAAGTTAGAAGCTTGAGCTCGCCAATTGGGTATGTCTGAATATCCCTAGTTTAACACTAATAGCTGCTTCATTCATAATCCTAGTCTAGCTTTAGGGAGCAAAAAAAAGCTTCATCCTTGATGAGAGATGCAACATAATTATAACATAATTATACCATGATATTTATTAGAAGAAAAATACAACCAGGTAAACGTCCCTAGTGTCAACTGATATGATACTGTTAATATAATAATATCTTTTTTAAAAAATAAACTGTTACTATATTAATATGAAGGCAAATTGACAATTCAATCCACATAATACAGAGTACATACCACGTATAAGGCTTCACTTCCTCTTAGAAACCCTCGTGTCCCATCAATTGGATCCAACACCTGCATATTATGGTTTTGGTCAAAGTAAAGAAGCGAAAAAATTCAACCACAAATAAAAACTCAAACCACGAAAGCAAACAGGCAATTGATTACATCTATATCTCCCACTCCAGAAGCAAGAACATCCCTGCTTATTTTACAAGAACTGCATGCAAAATCCACAACATGGGCTGACATTATTGCAGAAGGCAAACAGACTCTTTAACTTCAAGTTTTCGGAATGGTAACACAGTCGTACCCAATATGTGGCCGGCTTTGTGCAGAAGGTAAAAGCATCCTTCCCTCCTCTGTCAATTGCTTCTAGTACATCAGCATCAGTCAAAGGTTCATCACCAAAGCTTGCTTTATCACTTACAGCACTTACCACAGAATCTACCAGATTATTTGAACGTACAAAGGCAGAATCCTCTTCAGCCACCAAAGGAATAGAGGGAAACAATCTGCTAAGCTCTGTAATTAAAAGTAGAAAGAAAACATGAGAAAGAGTACTAATTCATGCACACTTCAGATGAAACTAAATGAAAAAAATTCTAGGGTTTAGTGCTAAATAGAGATTTTTTCTATATATACCTTCTGCTTAAGATCCAAAACTCAAAAAAGCAAGGGCTCAACAGTGGTGGTCGTTGATCGCTACTCTAATTTAACTCACTTGGTGTTCGATGGCAAGGACTTAGACAATATACGTGCAGCTGAGCTATTTCAGGAATTTGTAAGATTACATGGCATCGCAAGAACCATTACTTTTGATCGACATTAATATATATATATATATATATATATATATATATATATTATGGATCACTTTTGGCAAAGTCTTTAGAGAAAATTTAGAACTACTCTTCAATTTCGTTCTCCTTGTGACCCTCAAAAGGATCGGCCAAATGAATAAATCATGCCTGTTGATCATCGGCATTAAAAGCTCAATATGGGCCCTCCCTCTAAGGACCTTAGATGCAAGGCACAAGCTTTATTTTTGGGGAATTGAAAGACTACATGGCATTTCAAGAACCATTACATCAAATTGCAACTGAAGAAACAAGAGTCCCTTTTTGGCATAGTCTTTGGAGGAAGCTTGGAACTACTCTTTAATTCAGTTATTCTTATCACCCACAAATAGGAAGGTGAACCAAGGTTGTCAACAGGAGTTTGGGAAAATTCTAAGGAGCTTGATTAGAGGGAAATATTGGCAATGGGATCTTCAGCTAGCTCAAGCTAAATTTGCACTAAATTAATCTCCCAGCAAGATGACTAGCAATGGTCATTATACATGGTACTAATCATAGTAGCATTCTCATATTGGAGATGCTGAGGAGAGAAGGTCAAGTGAGTAAAGAAATTCTATGAGAAAGTATGAGAGATTTTTTGAAGGAAAAAAGAGAATATGTAAGCAAGGCATCAAGAAGTACAACCATGTAAAACAAGGAAATAAGGTCATATTTTTCTTCCTCTTAAATAAGAGGACTGCCTTCAAACAAGGATCCAGGGTGTTAACTATCAATCTATAACTATACTGAAAGAAGACAAGACATCTCCAAAAGCCTTCTATTCTTCTCTTTCAAAACCAACCACAAGGTAGCCAAGGGGATGAGGGAACTCCCTCTCTGATGATACCCTACCAAGCTTAACTCTCAACCACAAGAGACCTTGCCATCACCTAATATAGACCCAAAAATTTAATAGCAACATAGCAAAGGCAAGAAGAGAAAGGGCACCAAGAAAGAAGGTGATGAGAAAATTCTACATTCTTTTTACAGAAATAAATCCATTGTGCAATCCTCATAACCAGATATGACAAAGAATTACCAAAGACACTGATAAGTTTAACAAGTAAGCTGATAAATTTCACAAGCCTGCAACTTAAAGAGGTTGATCTTGTGTTGATTAATATTCAAAAGGGGAACTTTCCTCCTTGGGAATATCAGATATGAGAAGCTCAAGCAAAGGCAGATAAACTCCTTCGGCTTCTGAAATGAACTGGAGAAAATGTTTATGGGGTCAAGTTGGCAGGTATTTGTGGTTTTTTGCAGCAGCCTTTCTGTCTACTCTTTCTCCAAACATTAAGAATGACTTGGTGGCAGTTCTTTTCTTCAACCACGCAAGACTAGTATGGCATCCGAGTCAAGTTCTAATCAGCCAGTAATAATAGATAATACTGAATGTTAAGAAGCTAAAAAATGATGCATGACTTGCTTTACAGATTGAAGGGTCAAATCGTATCTGAAAACTATGATCTGATATCCTCGGAAAGCTATGCGTTTCTAGATTCTGATGCTTCAAGCCATTTAAAATTTGGAGTTTTCTGTGACGAGTATATGGCCAAAATACCACAGCGAGACAGAGCTGAACACCTGTTTACCAAGAATTCACTTTTTTAACGCTCATATGCATTCTACGGATCAGCCTGTGAAAAATCTATGTTCCTAATGTCCTTTTCACATTAGTTACATTTCCATATATGTCAGCATCAATATTTATTTTAAGCAACTAGAATTGTCTTCTAAAAATCCTATTTTAGGAGGGGTGTTCCATGCCTATTAATATCTGTTATTTACTAATGAAATTCAGTTTCATGGTGATTAGCTTAATAAAGAAGGGAGCTTTTGGTCTTTCATTAAAGTTGGATTCCTTCCTTTCCCAGCCTTTTTATCACTCAGGTGGATTCTATCAGATTATTCTATCCTTGTTTTAATTAGTGTGGCCTTCTATTTCTCCCATTTGTCGGCCACAGAAATTGTTGATTATCTTCTAATTTCTTTAATGCTACAGTTAAATTCTGTCACAGGTTTTAACTATGGAATGAATTATCACAAGAATTTAGTTTTTTTCATATTTGATTCCAGCACCCAAATTCACATGAAAATCTCGGTTGCTTAAAAAACTATTGTATCAACAATGAAAAAACTAAAAGGATTTGTAAAATGAGACAAATTTAACATAGGCAATAATTAAAAAAAATAAGAAAAGAAAATAAACATGATAACTTTTAATCAAATCACCTAAGCTGACTAAAGCCTGCACTCCAAAATCTGCCACCGTAACCGGCGTTTGATCATTCTTTTCTATTATCCTCCCTTCACTCGAAACTAACGATCTCTTAACCTGAAACATCAGGAACAAAAAAAAAAAACAAACAAATATCAATTTCTAGAAAGCAAAATAACCAATTTATCATATATATACATATGCATAAAAACACGCACGGAGAAGAAGAATAAATAAATTACATCGACGCAGAGACGGCATGCTTTCTGCACTGCATCAATGGCAGCTCCGAGCTCTTTATAATACTTAGCTTCGTGTTTCTGAAATGGAAGACTCGACCTGAAAATCCATCCGCCGGAAAAAAGAAAATAAAAATCCAAAAATAAACATAAAAATCATGAAGATTGAGAATAAAAGAAGAAACGAATTGATTGAAGTTGAAGAGACCTTACGGCGAAGCATCGCCTTCGGAGAGGTGCCGGGGAAGAATGACATCTAAAAAATCGAACACTGGAGAAGTAGGAGGTTGAGCGGAGAAGATCCATGACGTGAATCCCAAAGCTGAGAAAGTAGAAATTAGCGGCGGAGCTTGCGACGGAGAGATCAGACGGGAAAGGAAAAGAACGGAGCAGAAGTAGCAGATTGTGTAATGGGAGTCACCTATGGTGTGGTTTGGTGTTTCCTCAACGGTCATTTTCGCCGACGATGTTAATGGGCCTTGTGGCCCAACATGATATATATGTTATCATGAAGCCCAATAAAAAAATATTTTTTAAAAAATTTATTTTTAAAAATATAAATTTATGTATTTAGTTAATTTAGTTACACTTATACACCAATAATAACATAGTCGATCTCTTAATATTAACCATCTAACTAACATATGTTTATCGAAATTTCAAAACAACTAAAATATTCGGTTTGATCCTCAATCCGATCGAAAATTTTATCGGTTCTGTTTTTTATTTAGATAAAATTTAATAACTAAATTTTAATTTATTTTTTTAAAAAAATTAAAAAATTATATTAAAATTTAAATAATAAATTTTTTTAAAAAAATAAAAATTATTCTAATTTAATTTAATTTTTAATGTAAACCTCTATTTTTATTTAATTATTAATCTCATTTAATTCCGAAATAATTCATTTTTATATTGATAAACATCAATAAATACAAAAAATTTCATGTTATATTATTTTATTATCATATGGGTCGCGGTTAAATTTTTAATTGTTAATTAATGAATTAATAGCTAATTAAAATAATATTTTTGGCTTTGTAATTATATTTTCGGTAGGGGGTATCTTTGTATTAATGAGAATAATGTTAATAATAAAATTTTGAGTGCCAAACAACAAATTAATCTTTGCTACCTTCCATAATTAATACAAATTTTGAGTGCTCCACAAGTAATTAGATTGTAATAAATCACCTACATAATCATAATTAATTAACGTTAATGTTAAATTAACATCTAATTAGCTTCGTCACCTCGAAAATGTTTACAAGTCAACCTCCATTAAAAGAAAAAAAAAAATATCTACAAAAAAAACAGATTGTTATTTATCCGATAAAATACGTGTCTGAAACTACACATAAGCTGTCGTTTTGTGATATCGGGAATCTTCCCGGTCGAAACCGACACGTGGCAGTCACCCACGGGATTAGACAGCCACGGCCCCCAGTTTTGCCCTTTATCTTCGCAGTCTCCGCTATTAAAAGACCGTCAAGTCCCCATCACAGCTCATTGTTTTCCCAAACTGTGGCTTCTTCTTCTCCAAATCTCCATTATAAACCCTAGAAGTTCACACTCATTTCTCTCAAATCGCAGAAACTATAAGCGATTTCACTCGATACTTCAAATCTTCCGTGATTCATCTCGTTTCAGATGAATTTTTTTCCAAATAATCTAATTGAGTTTTCTGTTTTATGAGCTTGAGGTATATGAGCAGGTCCATTTGCCAGGTAGGAGGAAGATTGGTGCAGGGAATGAAGGAGCAGGCATCAAAAGGCGATTCAACTCTCAGATCTATCAAGGAATCTGTATCATCTGCTTCTTCTTCTTCATCCTCTTCGAAGCAGGGAAGGCGATTCTCTGGCGCAGTTGATTCCGGCGGTTTCAGAGCTGCAAAGAATTACGATAAGGCGAAGCAGAGGGAGGAGTCTTTCAGGACTGTCATGTACTTGAGCTGCTGGGGTCCTAATTAGTGCGATTGCAGATGGATCGTTGATGAGATAAGTTAATCGAAGAAATTGTTAATCCTATTAATCACATCTTCTGTATAAATCTACTGATATTTGTACATATGTTATATGTCTGCATGTATAGATCTATCATGAGCAGTGTTTCTCCAATGAAGAGCTTATAAATTACAATCTTTTTCAGTTTCAGTATATCAGATGACAAGCAAATTATCCATTTCAAAATCCTTGTTTGGTGAACTGGACGGATGAAAATATCAGTTAAAAGATATTGCTTTACTATCATGTTAAATAGTAATTTTCTTCTTTGGAAATAAAAAATTTCAACATTCAATCTTATCATTTTCTACCACAAAAACGATTTCCTTTTTGTAAAATGACCATAAAACCCAAAACCCCAATAGTCAATTCTTCAATAAAAGTTATATTCATGATTAAACAATTATCCACAACTAAATATAACATATAGTTTTTATTACATAATAATGCACATTTTTTTAAATAATTTTTTCTGACTAACTTTGAAATTGGACCTTGTTAGAGTATTTTTTTTTAAATATAAAATAAGCTCTGATAACATATTTTGACTATGGCTAAATTATCCGACATTGCCATAAAATTTTAATAATTTTTAGAATGAAAGGAATCCTCTTCATGAATGTTTCATCTAATATCTAAAAATTAATTTTAAATAATTAAATTAAATTAATAATAATTTATTATTTCCTTAGAAATAATCTATAAAGACATCATGTTATGAACCATGTTTGGAAATAGACATATGGGTAATAAAAAACCACTATTATGATTTATGAATATGTTATTTTGCACTTTTACCATCTTCATAAAACCAACCTAGCACTATAAATAAAGATTAATTTTATCAAACAAAATTATTATATAATTATGAGGTTAAATATGTATATCATACATTGTTTTAGATGTACTAAAAAAAATGTCTTAAGTTCAAAATTTTAGTTCTACATAAAATATTAATATATGTATATATGTATATATAAAGTCGATTAAATTGAAAAAGTAATTAATTAATTATTTTTCTTAAAATACTTAAACTATCCATATTATTTTTGTTTTATGTAACCATCGAAATTATTTATGTACTTAATTAATTTTATTTAAAAAATGTGGAGTTATAATACATTTAATATTTAGATAATGAATTAATAAATGTAAATTTATTTAAACTTGAAATTTAAACTTTGAAAAAATGATTTAGCACATTGCATTTCTGCTAACACTATTATGAAAGTAATTAATCATTACATACTAGTTATATTAATTTATATCTAAATAAATTTTTCTCTCTCAAATCACAAATAATAAAAACAAAAATATTACAGAGATCTCAAATGAACAGAAAATATGTTACTTTCAAGCTTACAAGTACTTATATTATCTCAGCTTGGATGGAATATCAACAATATTTTATCATTACTTTTGATTGATTATGAAAAATAATGTCATTGTCTTCGTTCGAACTTTCTTCTATTTGGGATATAGACTCAAAAAAATCAGTTAAATTAATACTGTGTTGATTATGAACATTAAGGGGCTTATGAAACTAGACAGTTTTACCTTATATCATCATGTAATACAATTTATAGATTATTTTAAAGATTTTATCGATGAGTTTAAAACCTATGATGGATAAAATCATCTATTCTTATTAAACAATATCTGTTAAACGTCGTGTGATCTAAAAAAATATCGTTATTTTTCATAAAATTATGTATTCTATAAAGCTGAATAAAATAGTAAAAGGATGGATGACAACCAAATATTATATATATAAGGCATTTAACTATGGGAAATGGAGCTTTTTGTAATGCATCCTCACAAAAACTTGGTCTTTTTGAGTAAGGTAATTCAATTGTTTTCTCAATATTTTATTACAACATCCTATCAAATTATTGCAAATGACACCCTTTGCAAATGAGAATGACCTAAAAGAGGGTTTGGCAAGAAAATATATTATTTTTATACATATTTATCCTATGTATAGAAGTCATATAAAAAATATTCTTAAAAGCTAAAAATGAGAGGATAATCACATGTATTAAGCTAAGGCTTAATGCACCTTATGTTACTCATTTACTCCTCGCTAATGATCTCCCAATTTTCTACCAATATGATTGTCTAAAAATATATTGTTTAATGTCTGGCTAATCATTGAGTAAAGATAAATCATCTATCTTATTTAGTAAGAACATAAAACTCGATCTGAAAATGAGAATTTTAACTGCGAGTAAACGTAAAGTTTAAAAAAGAAAAAGTATCTAAATCTACTATGTCATGATAAATAATAACTTTCAAATATTTCTCATACTTCTTTGACAAAATGAGAGTAAAGCTAGCTAGACAGAAAAGTCAATCCTTATCTTATGCTGCATGCCCTACACTTGTTAGGTCAATGTTGAATTCAATCTCATGTTATGTTATGTCCACTTATTTAATCCCAAAAAATATTATCATGAAATGGATAAGCTGACTAGAACGTTTGGAAATTAAAAAGAGCGAAAGACATGGATTCATATCAATGACATGGGATACTATTTATAAGCCAAAAGCACTATGAAAGCTTAGTTTTTTTATGGCTCGAAGATTTTAGGCTTGCCATTTTAACTAAGCTAAGTTGATAAGTAAAATTTGACCTAAACAAGTCTTGAATATATTTGATAAAAACAAACTATCTCAAGGGCTTTCCTTTTGGCTCTACTGGTCATAAAACCAGTTACTCCACTTTTTGGAAAAGATTGCTCAAAACGGGAGATTTTGTGAATCGGAGTGTTGTGAACTTATGGGTGATGAAAAAAATATCTACATATGGAATGATCCATGGATCCCAACCATAAAAAAATTTAAACTTAACTGCCCACCTAATCGCATTTTTGTTTATGTGAGTCAACTTTTTGATGAATGTGAGAGTTATTGAAATTCTTTAATCCTTTATCAACTATTTTTTTAGATAAATAACCAAAATAAAAGATCATATATTATTTGAAGTGTACAAATATTTAACTAGTTTGTTAATTTTTAATTGATAAACTTATATGATGTCACCAATGTTATTCACTGTAGTAATTGGATGTTGAAAAAATAAAATAAAATTGTATGTATGTATATATGTGTATATAGTAATAATTATAGATTGGAAAGGGTGTAGTTGTGGAGAGGAGGAGGAAACGGTGCCGTTTCGAGAATATGAGGAGGAAACGACGTCGTTTGGAGAAGATGAAGAGGAAACCACATCGTTTGGAGAAAACGACGTCATTTGGAGAATAGGAGGAGGAAACAACATCGTTTGGAGGAAACGGTGCTGTTTGGTGAATAAGAGGAGGAAATGGCGTCCTTTGGAGAAAACGAGGAGGAAACGACGTTGTTTGGAGAAAAAGGAGGAGGAAACGACGTCGTTTCGAGAAGAGGGAGTGGACGGTTGGGA